TAGAACAAATCTGCATTCCACTAACAGCTACGCACAGCTTTGTCATATTATTGAACACAGCTAAATAATAATAATAATAATTTAATAAGTACAATACATTATAATTGGAGGTAACTACAATTAATAAATTATAACTTAAGTAACCAATTCAAATTAACCAAACGAAAGTAACGGTCTAAAAACTACTACTGCGTTATCTTAAGATTGCAAGATTTTACAAATGCGGGATAACTTTGAAAATATATGTCTAAACTCCTGTCCTTGTTAATTTAATTATAGGCTCGACAGATACCGAATAGAGGATCATTGTAGGTAACGTTATGAGTACAAGATGGCATATGAAATATTCTTTGAGTACTATTACTTCCATCCTCAAAGAGAAGTGGCTCAACAATTCACATGCGTCCCATATTGCATTAACTATTTTATACATGCTGACAAGATCATTAATGACACGCCTTGACTGTAGCGTATGGAGACTAAATTGCTTCAACCTATCCTCATATGTGGGCAACTTACGTCTCATACCAAATTTGGAGCTTAAGTGCCGGAGAAAACGTCTTTGGACAGCTTCAATTCTATCAATGTGAATATGGTAGAAAGGGAACCACGCCGTCGAAATCGCAAAGATCTGAGGGGCATTGCCACTGCGCCCGTCACCTTGAGACGTAAGTTGAAAAGTTACATGTCCCAGGGTAAGGGATCACGAGAAATTACTGGGTGATGGGTGCAGAGGCGGTGCACCTCAGATCTTTGCGATTCTTCTCTGAGTAGCACTGCAACTATTATGGACAGACGTGTCGTTTACCATCAGGCGCATGACTTGTTCGTCACATCAGTATCATAAAAAAAAGACCAGAACACAGTAATGCTGACATAACATGACAGAAATAGATAAGGTGGCAGTTCTACCCTGTATGAACTCTTTCACAAGGAGGTCTACTGCTACTAAACTGTGAAGTACCTTAGTTTCAAGGTCCGATTCGAAAAAAATCGATTCTCCAGCTTTCCGGACTTCATTTGTTTTTTTTTTGACTCTTTACTCTTTATCGTAATCATTTGTTACGTACAAGAAACGAGGCAAACCTTACACCGCTGCAATATGGTCGCATCTTTTTTGGAGAACTAAGTAATCATATTGAATTCGTCGTCGTTCAGGTATTAACCGCTAGATGGTAGCACATTTATTGAAATTTCAATATAAAATCAAAACGTCGTAAGTTGCACTAATAGATATTGATGGCTTAGAATAATAACGCATAGAAACCTAGCCCGCACACGCTAAGTGAGGCAAGTTAGAGGGTTCCAAACGCGTCCCAGGAGCGCGCGGGCTGTTAGTGCTCAAGGTCATATTGCACCGCGAACAGCTCCAAAATTTTTTGCTAAAAATGACGAAATGGGTGTAAAAATACAACAGACAAACATAAAATAGACACTAACATCGCATTCCACAAGTAAGTAATGCGTTTCAACTCATATTTTTATGTAAATATTCACTAAAACAGAAAAATAATTTCGCGGCAACAAGATACGAAAGTGTTGCAAAGTAACGAATTTTTTTCTCCCCATTTTGCTATTCTGTATCAAAATAATTATATTACGTAAATTTTAGTGGTGCCTGTAATTTAGATTTATTTGCGCATCTTGAACTAATATTTACTTTAATAAACATTAAATGTTTTCGTTAACTCCTGTAAGTGATTGGGACACTTAATTATTTTATAATACTTTTAACGGCTCTACGTTCATGCTTTATTGAATAATTATTTATTTTAATTTTATTTGAATTGGAGCACATATTGCAACAAATTTACAGTACTTATATATTTGTTTCTACTATAGTGTTGGCACCACCAGTACAACTTTGATAGCTTATTATATGTCTTTCTTTTCGTAACTCAAGCGAAATATTTTATATTATAAAATATTTTATTTTCTTAAAAGGGGAGCATTCTTAAGCGATTTTTTAATCTATTTTAACAGTTATTTTCTTTAATGTTTGCTTATGGCATTTTCGGTTTTAGGTTTCGAATATGGCACTTATTTCTAAATCCAAGATGCGGGCGCGATTTTTCGAATAATGGCAAGTTGGGTATCGTTTTCGAGATGTTTGGGAATGTTCAATACAAATATGGCACTCATTTCTAAATCCAAGATGGCAAACACGACAGTTCAAACAAAAGCAATATTCGTAATGAGCACCCCCAAACACCTCGAAAACGATACCCAACTTGCCATTATTTGAAAAATCGTGCCCGCCATCTTGGATTTACAAATAGTGCCATATTCACATTGAGCATCCCCAAATACCTCGAAAATGATACCCACATAGCATTTTTTTGAAAAAATCGTGCCCGCCATCTTGGATTTAGAAATGAGTGCCACATTCGTAATGAGCACCCCCAAGTACCTCGAAAATGATACCCATATTGCATTTATTTGAAAACTCGTGTCCGCCATCTTGGATTTAGAAATGAGTGCCATATTCG